TCATTTAGCTCCCATTTATGACTGAGAACAAGTGATTTTTGGCTTTATGTTCCTGCATTAGTTTGCTAAGGATTATGGCCCCCACCTCCATTTATGTGCCTGTATGCACATAATATCATTCTTTTTTATGGATGTATAATATTCCATGGTATATATGTGCCATATTTTATTTAACCAGTCTATAATTGATGGGTATTTATGTGGATTCTATGTCTTTACTACTGTGACTAGTGTTGCAATGAACATATACATGCATGTGTCTCTATAACAGAATGATTTCTATTCCTTATAACATACATACATTAATTTTATTTAAAAAATAAAGTCTTAATGTTTAAATATGGCAAGACTACACTGAATTTAATTTTAACTTAGCTATTATATCTAATTGATTGTAAGGCTTTTAATGTCTTTATGTATTTGTAAAATTAAAATTTCTAAGGTCAAATTATTAAAATGCAGGGGAGACATTTAAACATTATTTAAGTATTTAAGGAACGTTCATCCATTGTATCTCTAGAGAGTCTGGTAAGTAGTTTTATTCTATGAGTTGTTTGGGGTTTTTTTGGTAACTACATGAAACATTATAACTTAAGAGAATATGAACATTGATATCATGAGAGTGTGAAATTAACATTTTAAGTAACTATGAATAATATCTTTACACAGAGCTTTGATAATCTAAACATGGTGGAAAAATGTTGAAGTAAAAAAAAAAAGCAAAAAATACGTTAGGCTCTTAGTATTTAATTAAGATTGATAGAATGTGTTTATAATTATCAATTTATTGTTAAAAATAATTTTGCTAAAATATATAAAATTAAATATATTTCTATATAATATATGGAACATATAAACAAAGTTTAGTAAAAATTCAGAATCAAAAAAATTAAAATAGCTGATTATTAAATCAATTTTTAGATTACCTTATATCATGACTGATACACAGTAAATGTTTAATAAATGTTAATTTAAAAATAAAAATAATGACTACTATTTACTAAGTGCTCATTCTATGCCTACAACTATGATAATTATAATACATGTATTACCTTATTGCCCCATCACAAACCTAGGAATTAACAATATGGACCAATAATCCCTGACTAGGCAACCATCTAGTAGTGATCAATTTAACTTTTAATCAGAATTGTCATCCTATCACTCCAAGAAAGGTTTGGGAATTCTGTTACAAAGACAAAAGTTATATTGATCAACACTTGTTTAGAAAAGAGCATAAAATCCTAAATTTTAAAGGCATTTTAACCTACTTCTGCACAGTTTAATATTTTATCTTTTAAGTAGTTGTATTAATGAAATTGATCACTATGAAAATATATCAAATTTTGTGAACAAAAGTACTTTGTAAATGCTGCTTGCTATTTTTGAAAGATAACATTATTTTTATTAAATTATTATGTAATTCTCACCTAGAATTAAACATGGTTCAATGGTCATTATATTACAGAAAATTGAAATAATTTTCTTTTATAGATAGGTGAGAGTAAGAAGAAGAGAAAAATCTGAAATACCTATTTGGATAAACAAGCAAAGAAAGAAGTAAAAACCGCCAAAACTCTCGGTGTTCTCAAATGATGATTCTTGAGTGCAAATCTGTTGGTATTTGGAATTTGGGGCAATACACCATATAACCTGTTTATAAATGGTTTCTATAGCACAACCCACATACCATCCAAAACCTCCATACACTTGGAATTGAGCAAGAGATCTCATGAGACTTCACACTCATTTACAGAATACTCTGAAGGATGCATTTATGCTGGTTTTCTCAATTAATTATAGCAAGTGTCACCATGGACAGCTTACAGCAGTTAATTCAATTTGACAGGTTAACTTGAGAGCCCTTTTCACTGAATGCAACAGGGAGCTGGACAAGCAAAAGGGCTATCCAAAACAGAAATAGAAGACTCTGAAACAACAACAGTTATGACAACAACAACAAAATAGCAGTGAAATCAGCATTAGGTAGTTTGGAAATCTTTATTTCCAAAAAAGAGAATGATTGGACAATTAGTGAGATGCCATTTCATTATTTCTATATTCTATAAGACTGTCCAATTTTCTTCTATTTTATAAATTTTTGTACAATGATTTGTAATTTTGAGACTATCAAGTTATTTTAATAACTGCACAAAATTAAAATATGTTGCTCTTCCATCCTTCCTACTGGACACATGCAAAAGCCACAGGCACACAATTTTAAGTTCAAAGTTAATTTCATTTTTTTATTCACCCCACTTTAAAATTGTCTCCTTCTGTATTCCTGATGCTCATAAAACATTAACAAAAGAACAGTCAAATTCCAAATTTCATCTTTGACATTTTTTTTTCTTTCACAAGCCTTTCACTAACACCATTCAGTAATTCCCATTGCTTCTATTGCTCAGGTATCTCTAGAATCCATTCTAAACTCATTACCACTTCTCTAATTCAGACCCTCATTATATTAGCTTATTTAATAATAATTCGTTTTCTAAAATCCTCTTGTTCTATATTCCTGTTTTCGTTTTCTGATCCTCTGTGTGTTCCTGACTTGAATCCATCCTCTACAACAGTCTTAATGTGAATTATTTTCTGAAATGCAAATTTGACTGTTATTTCCACCACTAGCAGAGTGACAGTCCAATTATTACCTTAAGTTTAATTAATTAAATTTGAAATTTAAATAGATACATACGGGTACATGTAGGCTACTGCATTGAACAGTACAGTTCAAGGAGGATCCTCTAAAAATGCAAAATAAAATATTAAAAATAAAACTTGAATTTTAAAGAAACACTCCACTTACTAAGGTAAAGCACAAAAAAAGAAATAGAGAAACACAAAATATACAGCGATAAATACTAAACAAATGACAAAATAGTAGATGCAAATTCAACCAGATCATCAACTATATATCTACAATGTTAGAGGTTTTGAGATCAGATTTTTAAAAAAGAGCTCAACAGTTATATGGTGTCTATAATATGTGTACACTTCAGTGAGGAGGAGGCGGGTGGAGCCCGGCTCAAGGATCCAAGATGCCCAAATAGGAACAGCTCTGGAGTGCAGTTCCAAGTGAGAACAATGCATTTCCAAATGAGTTTTTACTGCCCACAAACCAGGAGATTCCTGGACTGAAAAGCGCCACAAAAAGTTTTAAGTCGAAAGCAAAATTATGAATAAAAGACATACAGTGTAAACAATAAGCATATGAAATCTGGACTGTTTCAACAAAAACAAGTGAATTTTCAAGACTGGAAGATCATTAGGGATAAAGAAAATAATTTTATAAAGATAAAGAGAAGTTTTTACAAATGAATACATAACCATAAATGTGCATACTTTCAATAGCAAAGCTTCAAAATACATCAAGAGAACACCAACAGAACAAATAAGAGAAACAGGTGATCTGCAGTCATACTTAGATATTTTAATACCTATGTTTTAGTAATAAGATAGAAAATAAAATTAATAAGGATATAGGAGTTTTGACCAATACCCTCACCCACCTTGGTATAATAAATATTTTTAAAAAATTTTATATACATATTTTCAAAGTGACACATAATTGTACATATTGATGGGGTATAATGTGATATTTTGATACATGCATACAATGAGTAATGATGAAATTAGTGTAATTAGCATATCTATCACCTCAAAACTTTATCATTTTTTGTGGTAAGAACATTCAAAATCCTCTCTTCTAGCTATTTGAAAAAAATAAAATAATTATTGTATACTATATTCACTCCACAGTTCTATAGAACACTTGAACTATTCCTCCAACTAAGCTATAATTTTGTATCCATAACCAACTTTCCTACACACTCTTCTCAGCCATTGGTAACCACTATTCCACTCTGTGCTTCTATGAGATCAACTTTAAGTTTCTACATAGGACTGAGAACATATGGTATTGATCTTTCCATGCCTGACTTATTGCACTTAACATAATGGCCTCCAGGTCCATCCATTTTGCTACAAATGACAAGACTTCATTATTTTTATGGCTGAATAGTGTATGTATATCACATTTTCTTTATCCAGTCATGTGTTGATGGACATTAGGTTGACTGCATATCTTGGCTATTGTTAATAGTTTTGTAATAAACATGGGAGTGCAGGTATCTCTTTGACAAATTTCTTTTCCTTTGCATATATGCCCAATAATAGAATTGAAGGATCATATGGCAATTCTATTTTTTTTTTTTTTTGAGAGGGAGTCTTGCTCTGTTGACCAGCTGGAATGCAGTGATGATTTTGGCTCACTGCAACCACTGCCTCCCAGGTTCAAGCGATTACTCCTGCCGTAGCCTCCCAAGTAGCTGGGACTACAGGCTCATACCACCATGATCCGCTAATTTTTGTATTTTTGGTAGAGACAGGGTTTCAACATGTTGGGCAGGTGATCTCTTGATCTCGTGATCCACCTGCTTTGTCCTCCCAAAGTGCCGGGAATACAGGCTTAAGCCACTGCTCCCGGCCTATTTTTATCTTCTTAATGAATATCCACAGGAATTTATGTTCCCAAAAATCGTGTATAAGAGTTCCTTTTTCTCTGCATCCTCACCACCATTTTTAAAAAATAACAGTCATTCTAACCAGGGTGAGATGATATCTCATTGATTTGCTTTTTCTCCCATTGATTATTGATGTTGAACATGATTTCATGTAGTTGCCATCTGTATGTTTTCCTCTGAGAAATGTCTATTCATATCATTTGAGCATTTTGATCAATTTTTATTCTTATTTTTCTGCTGCTGCATTGTTTGAGTTACCTATTCATGCTTGGACATAATAATTAATAGATGCTTAAGCTGACGTACCTACGCTTACTTTTAAGAACAACTTCTGATTGAATCCACACCACAAACCCTCCTACCCCATCTCTGACTTCTCTCCATCAACCCAGATAAACGTACTCTCACCAAACCCCGAAAACAAGAGACTAAATGCAACCTAGTCAGAACCCAGATATCATATTTCAACCATGAGTATACTAACAGCTACCCCTTGATTGATGCTATTTTCCTAAAAATCATTAATCCCTCCTACTAAATTAGAACTCCATTTTGAATAATAAACACAACTAAAGTCTCACCTTAATACTATAATAATACCTTGAATATGTCCCTCTAAAAGCACTACCCCATGTCTCACATTCTAAATCAATCATATCCTAGTTTTAAATAACCCTCTCAACCAAACCTCTGTCAGTTCAACATTTATGGCCCTGAGTCCCCAGATCCATAGATAGCTCTTTATATTTATTTCTCTTCGTCTTATATTATAACTTTATACTTACATAGTTACATAGTTAATGTAGCTTAACTGTTCAAAGCAAGACACTGAAAATGTCTAGATGTTGTCATGCACAACCCCGTAAACAAGTAAGTTTGGTCCTGGCCTTTCTATTACATTTTGGTGGGACTACACAGGCAAGCATCCCCACGCTAGTGAAAATGTCCTCTAGCTCACCCAGATCAAAAGGAGCAGGTATCAAGCACACACAAATTCAAGTCAAAACACTGTGCTCAGCCACACCCACAGGAAACAGCAGTGATAAACCTTTGGCAATAAAGGAAAGTTTAACTAAGTTATACTAATTCATAGAGTTGGTCAATTTCCTGCTAGCCACTGCAGCCATACGATTAACCCAAGTAATAGAACTCGACATAAAGTGTTTAAGGTCTGCCCTCAATAAAGCTAGCCTCCATCTAAGTTGTAAAAAACTCCAGCTGAAATAAAATACACCACAAAAGTGTCTTTAATATACTGAAGACACAATAGCTAAGACCCAAACTGGGATTAGATGTCCCACTATGCTTAGCCCTAAACTCTAATTGTCATATTAAGAAAATCATTCACCAGCATACTATAAGCAACAGCTTAAAACTCAAAGGACTTGGTGGTGCTTTATATCCCTCTAGAGGAGCCCGTTCTATAATCAATAAACCCCGATACATCTCACCACCTCTTGCCCCAGCCTATATAACCACCATCTTCAGCAAACCCTAGAAAGGTGATAAGTAAGCATAAGTACATACATAAAAATGTTAAGTCAAGGTGCAGTTCATGAGGTGGCAAGAAATGGGCTACATTTTCTATCCCTCGAAAATCTCAAAACAGGCTTTATGAAATTTAAAGGCCCAAGAAGGATTTAGCAGTAAACCAAGAACAGAGTGCTTGGTTGAATAAGGCCATGAAGCACGCACACACCACATTTCACTCTCCTCAAATATTCTTCTAGAAATTATTATTCTAAAAACTCTCTACGCACATATGAAGGAGATAAGTCATAACATGGTAAGTGTACTGGAAAGTGTGCTTGGACAAACCAAAGCGTAGCTTAACTTAAAGCATCGGCTTACACCTGGAAGATTTCATCACAACTTGATCACTTTGAGCTAACTCTAGCCCGAAATTTCACTAAAAAATACTATTAAATTATCTTAAACAATATACCTTAAACAAAAGTATAGACGAGAGAATTTTCACCCTGACACAATAGACATAGTATCGTTAAGGGAAAGATGAAAGAACTAAATCAAGCATTAGGAAGCAAAGACAAACCCTTTTACCTCTGCATAATGTATTAACTAGAAATACTTTATATAGAGAAACACAGCCAAATCCACCAAAACCAGACAAGCTACTCAAGGATAGCTGAAAGAGCATACCCATCTATGTGGCAAAATACTGGGAAGATTCACGAGTAGCAGTGACAAACCTACCCAGCCTGGTGATAGCTGGTTGTCCAAGACAGAATTTTTATTTAATTGTGAACTTACCCACAGAATTACTTAATCACCCTGTAAGTTTAACTGTTAGTCTAAAGAGGGACAGCTCTTTAGACCCTAGGAAACAACCTGTCTGCAGAGAGCAAAAAATATTATCATAGTTGACCCAAAAGCATCCACCAATTAAGGAAGCATTCAAACTCAACATATAACTATTTTTAATCCTGCTCACTTTACTGAACTCCTAACAGCACATTGGACTAATCTCTCACTTGATAGAAGCAATAATGTTAATATGAATAACATAAAAATATTCTCCATTGCATAAGCTTACATCAGACTGGAATATCCATTGACAGTTAAAAGACTAATATTAATATACTATATAGTAAGCACCCTATTATTTATACTGTTAATCCAACACAGGCATGTTCTAAAAAAAGATTACAAAAAGTAAACGGAATTCGGCAAATCCTACCCCATCTGTTTACCAAAAATACCACCTCTAGCATTACTAGTATTAAAAGCACTGCCTGCTCAGTAACGTATGCTCAACAGCCACGGTATCCTGGCCGTGTAAAGGTCACATAATCACTTGTTCCATAAATAGGGACTTGTATGAATGGCCACGCCAGTGTTCAGCTGTCTCTTACTTTTAATCAGTGAAATTAACCTACCTGTGAAGAGTCAGATATAAACAAGTAAGATGAGAAGACCCTATGGAGCTTCAATTCAATAATGCAAATAAAAACTCAAAAAGCCTCCAGGCTTTAGCCCACTATCTCTGCATTAAAAATTTTGGCTGGGGTAACCTCAGAGCATAATTCAACCTCTGAACAACCTAAACTAAGACCACACTAGTCTAAGTGAATCAACATACATTGACTAAATAATTTAATCAAGGGAACAAGTTACCCTAGGGATAACAGTGCAATCCTATTCTAGAGTCCATATTGACAATAGAGTTTATGACCTCGATGTTGGATTAGGACATCCTAATGGTGTAACCACTATTAAGGGTTCATTTGTTCAACAATTAAAGTCCTACGTGATCTGAGTTCAGACTGAAGTAATCCAGTTCAGTTTCTATTTAATATTTCTCCCAGTTAGAAAGGATAAGACAAATAGGGCTCACTTCATAAAGCACTCTTGCCTCATAGATGACATCATTTCAATCTAACAAACCATTATTTACCCTACCAAACAACAGGGTTTTTTAAGATGGCAGAACCCAGCAATTGTATAAAACTTTATAATCAAAGGTTCAACTCGTCTTCTAAACATGCCTATAATTAACCTTCTCCTACTTATAATTCCCACTCTAATTGCTATAGCATTTCTTTTTTTTTTTTTTTTTTTTTTTTTTTTTTTTTTTTT